CCATTTTCACAACTTTCTGGATTGATCTGGCTAGACCCTCCCCAGGTCTAACTAAACCCTGCCAAAACATCCTGTGCCTTGCTAGGTTGTTGCTAGATCAGATAAAACAAAAATCATTTCCACAAAACTAGGTAAGGCAATTTTATATATACTTCATTAGAATCTATATCTCTTGGACTGTTTCCTAGAAACTTATTTAAAACAGGCTGAGGAACAAAATGCTACCTTTTATGAAGCTATTTAAACAAATAGAAAAAAAAAAGAGCTAGGCCCAAAATTGGTCTCTTATGTTTTTCTCATCAACATGTGAAAGAAATTTGAGAACGACCAAACCATGTATTAAAAAGAGAAAATAGTGGGGTTTGAGTTAGGGCCTTTCCTTAAAAATGTTAATACATAGGCTAGAGATTAGGAAAATAAATTTGTTCCTCTGGATTGTATTCCACCTTTAAAATTCTTAGAAAAATGTATTTTGACTTTTTTCCACCAGAGATAATTGGGATGGAGAAATGTTTATTTAAACAAAAAGAAACAAGTCAATTTGTGGTCTTGGTTACAACATTAAAACATCACTCAATGAAAGTTAATATAAATATCTACAGTTTCCTCTGACTTTCCATTTTAAGATCACAACTATACAAATTAATGATTTTAAAGTCAGATCTTTTTTTTTCAATTCTTCCTCTTTGTAATATTCAAATCAACAATATGGACAACTTTACATGTTTGAATTCTGTCAATATACACTCTAATGCAATAAGGTTGGCAACAGATGATCCTTTAAACATGGTTCTATAACTGGTTTGAGGAACCCTTGATGGAGTAGAGTAGGACTGTCAAACTCAAGGCATGGGGCCCAGCCCACAGATGCTTAGATCTGGCCTGCAGGGCCAGCCTGGAAACAGCAAAGGCCAGCCTGCAGTGCCTCTGCCAGTGAAAACGAAGGTAAGGACGTCCACGCGTGCCCTGAGCTCTGTTTTTGCTGACAGAGTGCTAGCAAAACAAACTACTAGCAAAAGTGGCATTTGATCACTTTTGACAAATGACATTGAGCTGGCCATGCCCACCCTGGCCATTCCCACCAGTGGTATGATTCAAAAAATTTTACTACCGGTTCTGTGGGCGTGGCTTGGTGGGCAGGGCATGGCATGGCTTGGTGGGCATGGCAGGGGAAGAATATTGTAAAATCTCCATTCCCTCCTCAATCCAGGGGAAGGTTGCTGCAAAATCCCCATTTCCTCCTGATCAGCTGGGACTCAGGAGGCAGAGAATAGATGGGGGCGGGACCAGTCAGAGGTGATATTTACCGGTTCTCTGAACTACTCAAAATTTCCACTACCAGTTCTCCAGAACTGGTCAGAACCTGCTGAATACCACCTCTGATTCTTCCCCCTGCTCCCCCCCCAGGTCAAACACAACCCTAATGCAGCCCTCAATGAAACTGAGTTTGAGTAGATGGCTTTAGGATAGTTAATTGAACACACTCTCTTGTATGTGTTCCTGCCATATAGCTTTTTAAATATTTTATCTTATTTAATAGCAATAGCATTTAGACTTATATATTGCTTCATAGTGCATTATAGCCCTCTCTAAGCAGTTTACAGAGACAGCATATTGCCCTCAACAATCTGGGTGCTCATTTTATTGACCTCGGATGGATCGAAGGCTAAATCAACCTTGAGCCGGTGAGAATCTAACTGCCGGCAGCCAGCAGTCAGAAGTAGTAGCCTACAATACTGCATTCTAACCACTGCACCACCATGGCTGTTCTTTAAATTATGTTTTTAATTGTTTTTATTTCTATGTGATATAGATAGAGACAGATTGCTTGGACAGTAACTAATGACTAATAAGTAAGCACTGGAGCGCATTACCTTAGACAGGTCACTGGAAGGACCAAACCCTCACTTATTTTGGCCATGTCATGCAGGGGAATTCACTGGAAAAAGCCATTTTTGTTGGGAAGAAATAGCGGTAAAAGGAATCCAGACCACCAAAGAACACAATGGAACACATTATCAAAGCTGACATCAGCCAGAGCAGAGAAACTCAAGCAGTGCAAGTTCAAAAGATGTAGAGAGACCTGACCCATAAAATAGCTAAGAGTTGGACCTGACTGAATGGATAACATCAAGATAGACAGACAGATTTTTCTTATAATCCACAGAGCTACTTGGGGGCAGGGAGATATCTGAAAATATTTAAAAATGGCTGCTCTGCAAAGAAAAAAGAGAATCCTTTTAAAGTTGAGACTTTATTCTCAGCAAAAGCTATGAAGTTTGATTTCCAGTGATTTTCCTAACCCTTTTCAAAATCTTACATTGATCACTGAAATCAATTACAGCTTTGTTAAGTATACAGGCAGACTGGCTAGCTTCCATTACATTTTCAACCTACCAAATGACTACTGTACTTTATTTCCCCAAGGGTTTGTATGTGGGTTTGAATTCACAGTCTGGAGATGATTACGTATTCACAGCTTCTTTGCTTCTTTATCCAACACTCCCTGAGGTGATCCTGATTGCAGTCTGAAACTATTAGATCACTCAGCAAACCCTAATTTGAAAGTCTACTGTACTATCTCCTTCCAATTCTACCTTAAGAACTCTGATCATCAGTATCCACCTCATTTCCCATTCTTGGCTCACGGAAAGTTCTAGAAACTTTGAAAGCAGGCTCCTCCTCTTCATCCCCATTAGTGAACTGCACTAAATCTCTGTGGCATATGATCCTGTAGATTTATTTATTAAACTATTCTATAAACACACTGTACACATCTGGTTTTCAAGCTACATTTACCAATTTGCTTCTAGGTTAAATTCAAGGTCTTGGTATTGACTTTTAAATGCCTTCATGGCATGGGACTGAGATATTTGAAGGACTGCATTTTCCCAAATTCATCTGCTTGTTCCACCAGATCCAGCTAAGCAGGCATGATGCAAGTTCCATCTTAAGCAGATCCTTGGTGGCAGGCCTTCTCTGCAGTGGTAGAGTGGTGGAATTTCTTCTCTACTAAATGGAGGTTGGCTTCATCACTTCCAAGCTTCTGAAAGTCTCTCAAGACCCAGTTCTGTCAGTAGACCTGGATACCCCAGATGATCGGTGAAGTGGGTCTGCTATATTAACATATCTTCACCTTCTGTTTAGTTTAGCTCAGTTTTTAATACAGCTAGTGCTCAACAAGTTCATTTAGTAACCGTTCAAAGTTACAAAGGCACTGAAAAAAGTGACTTATGACCATTTGTCACACTTATGACCATTGCAGCCAGGGGTGAAATGCTCCCGGTTCGGACCGGATCGCCCGATCCGGTAGCAATGGCGGCCGGTGGTTCGGAGAACTGGTAGCAAAAATCCCTGCCCCCCCCATGCCCAGCTGAGCCACGCAATCATCAGAGGCTTTTTTTTAACTTTTAAAAGCATTTTTTCTTCAGCCGAAAAAATTCTTTTAAAAGTTAAAAAAAAAGCCTCTGATGATCACACGCCTCAGCTGAGATCATCAGAGCCCTTTAAAAGCATTTTTTTACAACCTCTTCGGCAGAAGAGGTTGTAGAAAAAATGCTTTTAAAAGTTAAAAAAAAAATGTTGGCCACGCCCACCCAGTCACATTACCCCACTACCACCAAGCCACACCCACAGGACCGGTAGTAACAAATTTTACATTTCACCACTGATTGCAGCATCCCCATTTGAATGGTTGCAGTGTCCTGGAGTCACGTGAATACCTTTTGCGACGTTCTGACAAGAAAAATCAATGAAGAAGCCAGATTCACTTAACAACTACATTGCTAATTTAACAATTGAAGAGATTCACTTAACAACTCTGGCAAGAAAAGTTGTAAAATGGTTAGCAAAAAAGTTAGCAAATGTCTTGCTTAAAATCATACATTTTGGGCTCAACTGTGATCATAAGTTGAGGACTACTTTTTGATGTTTTAATTGTTAAATGACATTTTAAGTGTTAAATTGTAAGTATTAATTTGTTCTGTGAAAAGGGCAGCTGTTAAATAAATTGGACCTTTATTCTCAATAGAAATGGTGGTTTATTACTATTAGTCTCCCTTGCCTCAGCTGCCCTAAGTACAGGAATCATTACAAAAAACCTAACTGCAGCACAAGGAAATTTTATCTGAATGATAACTTCTATGCCAAATTCACTTGGCTGAAATATTTGAAAATATTTATATTTTAGTCTAAATATTTTATCTGTAACCATGTACAGATTTACCAAATGAAAATCACACCATGCTATTTCACACAAGATGAAATAGGATGTATAATCTGTACCTCCTACCACAGTATCTCTTAATCCTTCAGGGGCCAAAGGCCCCCTTTCTATTTTTTGCTGCAACAGTCCAAGCAATAGCTCCACTTATGGCATAATTCCTGACCAAATATTTTAATGATTTCTCCAAATCATAGATCATCCTTACCCAAACAAGCTTTCCCCAGGCTGGTTCCTCCAGTTCCCACTTCTGACGTTTTCTTTTCCTTTTGCATTTTGTTTACCAAAAAAATAAAAAATAAATGTTACCATGGCTTAAAAATATTTTTGGATTAGATAAAACGTTTGATTAATGCAATGACTTCATCAGTTCCGTCGAGATAGGAATTTATTTTTGGATTTAAAGAGCTAATAATATCGCCAGGTCCGCTCCGCCCCCAGCCCCTTTGCTCTGAATGAATGAACTTGGCTGCTTTAGCACAACGTCTCCCGGCCTCCCTTGTGAAAGGCGAAATAGGGATGCGGGGACTTTCGGCCTCCGTGTTCAGACACCACGTGAAACAGATGTGGCAGACGCCTTCCCCAGCTGGAACGCAGCACCACCCCGCCCTTTGCTCAAGCGAGGGTTTTAAAGCAAAAGCCTTAAGGACCTGAGGCGAATGATTCGCTTCCCATTGGCTGGAAAAGTTAGAGCCGCTCTCCCGATTGGCTGCGGCGCTGTAAGAGGGAGTTGTGGGCTCCAATTATAAAAGGGACTTCGCTCTGGCGGCGAGGAGATTAGCGCTCCGGATCAGAAAGTGGAATTCGTGGTACTTGCCGAATCCGGATTCCTCCTGACAACCCCGCAACAGACAAGTCGCTTGTTAATCGCTGCAGCGAGGCGCTTTTGCTGGCGGCGGCCCGATTCAGATCGAAGAAGGAAGGAAAGGAGGGAAGCAAACGGAACCATGGATCTGAGTTCAGGGATTCAAAAAGTAGGTACCTTGCTTGCCCCGTTTCTTCTCCGGGTTGCCTTAGTTTCTCCTTCGTTCTCCCTCAAAGAGATAGATAGATAGATAGATAGATAGATAGATAGAGAGAGAGAGAGAGAGAGAGAGAGAGAGAGAGAGAGAGAGAGAGAGAAAATAAACAGGTTCGCACATATATATAATATATGTGTGCGAACCTGTTTATTTGCAGGAAAACCTCATTGCGCTGAATGAGCATTCTTTTTGAGCCAACATCTGTAAAACGGCGCAGCTGATCTTTTTTGGGGAGCTGCCGTTGTTACCTGAGAAGCGAGATGTCTAAAGAATCTTTTCTGTTTTGGATAATCTTGTAGGTAGCTTATAAATGCACTGCCTTAGATTTTATACGGGAGATTCAACATAGGTAACCGTAGCAGCTGGCAGTCTTCGAGTTAAGTCTTTAAAGCAACTACCTGAGTTCGTTAATATAAAATAGTAACCCATGAGTAGATGGAAGCTTGCTAGTCTGCTTAGTTCTAGACTTTTGACTTGGTTTCTGGACTCTCCGGGTGCATGTAGAATGTGATTCAAGGTTACAAACTGTATCATGCAAACAAGGACTTTGGATTATTTCAACACCTTAGTCTGTTTTCCTTTACTACTTATATGGGGAATAGGATCGCATGAATTTAAACATGGCACAATTATATGCACCCATATATTAACTTTCCCCTTTATGCAAATAAATCATCTGTAGGGAAATTCTGCAGGAATGGGCTGCAATCTTGTACACCTTTTTAAGTACAATCTTAAACCTTTGGGTCTTACTATGCTTATTAGGGCTTCATTTCTAGGAAATGGGAAGAGGGGATTGAAGTTTCACACAGGATCATTTTGAAATGAATATATGAAAGGCTTTGCAGCTCCACTGCTGGGTTTCCTATTTCCTTTTCCTGATAAACTTCATTTAATACAGCTGCAGATATGCGGAGTGAGAGGGCCTTGACCCCACAGTTCACTTTTTGTAACCACACCCAATATGAAGCTGTATAAGAGGGATATAAGAGTGTGGGAATGGGAGAAAGTGAAGTGATGGCTGATGAAAGAAAGTTGAGGTTGAATTGGAACAGTGGTGTGACAGGTGTGGGGTCAAATCCAGTAGTAGAATAGGGTTATGTGGTGCGAGAAATATCAACTGGGTGGTAAGAGATGGTAATGTGAGAGTCTAGTGAACAGCCCAACTCTGTTCCCCAAATAGACAATAGGATAAGGTGCTTGAGCACACAGAAGCTGGCACTAAATAGACCAAAATGAGAATGAACTGTAACTTGATTTTCTCAAGCAGATTGTAAAAGCCAATTCAGCTGAACACTTTTCTCTTAGGAGTTAAAAAGTAACTGTAAAAAAGGAATTTGCTTCCAAGTAAGTGTGCTTTCTAAAAACGTATTCCCAAAGCAGAGACTGGGAAGAAGCCTCCTAACTTTTACCATGGCTCCAATGGAGAAAATAAAAATATAATAGGAGAGTGAATTTAGTACTCAAAGGAGCTCCAACTTTGAAAGCCATTGCAAATAATTTTTGCCCTGATCTCAGTCCAAAAGTCTAAGGCTTGCACTCAAAGGGTAGTAATGGAAATCCAGGGATACAAAATTGTGAAGGTAAAGTAAATAACAATGTAGAGTTAAGTTTAGGATTATAATGATAGATGTGAATAAAGATAGAACTAGACAACATAAACAGGTTTGCTTGCTAAACCCAAGACTCCTGCAGTGGAGCAAAATGCAATAAAATCTCTGGGGTTTGTGCCAACTCAACAGAATTCTTGCAAATGGTGTTAGTATTAGGAATAGGAATGTATGCATGAAAAAAAAAGCTGTCTCCAGGAGAAGTAGCATTTCCTTATTTTAGTTAGGAAAAAATTACAGAATAAAGTTACCTAAAATAGTAAAATATATGATGTATAGGCACTATTTATGATATTTTTATTGATTATAATTACAGATTATAAACCAATGTTATATTCTTTTTACTGTTAATTTTTAGTCACTTCAAATAATGTTATATAACTTGAGCTCTTTCCATTTTTTCTTTGACCTCACATAATTCTTTAAAACTTTAACCAGCTGCATTTGTAAATACAATATAGAAAAATTATCCAGGCCACTCTTTTGGTTTGTTATTTAAATTATCTCTTTTAATTGTTAAAACAGCCACTTTTCTTTTTTATATCCAACACCTTTTTCTTTATCATTCATGAGGCAAAACACTGTCAACTTGGTCCCAGTCTTGTGAGAAAGATTTTCTTCTCTTTCGTAACATCTTTTAGACCAGGGGTGTGAAACTTACATTGTCACATGATGTATTGCGACTTTTTCCCCCTTGCTAAACCAGACATGGGCGTGGCCAGCACATGACACATCCAGCCTATGGGCCGTGAGTTTCACAGCCCTGTTTTAGACACTGGGTATCTATAAAGGCAGGCATTTTTAAAATTAATTTCAGAATCCATTGTTTAAAAATATCCTTTAATGAGTCCAATATTAAAATATTTTATCTCATGTTTATTTATTTATTTATTTAAATTTTTATACTGCCCTTCTCCCAAAGGACTCAGGGTGGTGTACAGCCATATTAAAACAAACATATACCCATAAAATTTAAAAACAATTTAAAATATATTAAAATGTGGCCCTTATATTAAAAACTACAAACACCCAATTAAAATTCATTTTCTAAGCCAGACCAGCCTGTTGAAACAAAAGGGTCTTAAGGGCACGGCAAAAGGTACGTAGGTCGGGGATCATGCGAATCTCCGGGGGGAGTTCATTCCAGAGGGCAGGTGCCCCCACAGAGAAGGCTCTCCCCCTGGGTGTCGCCAGTCGACATTGTTTGGCCGACGGCACCCTGAGGAGTCCCTTTCTGTGGGAGCGTATTGGCCGGTGGGAGGCTATCGGTGGCAGAAGGCGATCTCGTACATACCCAGGTCCTAAACTGGATATGTTATTGTAAACTACATGTTATTGTAAATTGAATGCAATTGTTCTTTTTAAATTTAATCTTTAGTTCCTTCTAGTGACCTAATTGTTAAAATCTTATGGTGCTTTTTTTAAAAAGCATTTTCCCACAGGAATTATTCTTTATAAGTAATTTCAAAATCTTATTTCAAATTTATTTGGACTCGGTCAATTTGTAACTTTCTAAAATCAAAAGTTTTAATTATAAGATAACCCAAAGACCATTATTTTGCAGTCACCTCACAAGCAGCTGTACGGAGCATTTGTGGGCAATCTCACAGGAGTTCACTCCTTATCCTGAGAAGAGTTATCAGAGAGCCGGTCTACTTGTCAGCTCTTTATTCTGCAATCATTGGCTCTGTCAGTGATTGCAGAATAATAGAAGAAATAGAAGAATGAATTGTCTTCATTCTTCTATTTCTTCCCAGAAATCCACAAGCTTATTATTATTGATAATAATCAAAAGGATGGTTTCATCCTGTAACTGGATAAAATATACTTGCATGGCCAGGGTTAACTCCCTGTTTGATCACCAGAAGGATGAGAGTATGCAGAAAGATGAGAGTATTGCACTTGTTATCCATAGTTATACCATTATGTTATACCAGTGATGGTGAACCTTTTAGACACCAAGTGCCCAAACTGAAAGATGTGTTCGTGCATGAACATGTGAATGTGTGTGCGTGAATGCGCAAACGTGTGTGAACATGCACATGTGCTGACATGCACAAACATGCACATGCACGGACATGTGCAAACATGCGCATGCACGGGCATGCACGGGCATGCACAGCAGAGACCTGAAGACCAACTGGCCTGTGGGAGGCAGGTCATTCCAACACCAGCAGTGCAGCAAGAGATAAGATCTTTTTCTTTCATGAGCTTCTGTTTCATCGTTTGCAAGGAAACAGAAGCTCACAAAAGAAACGCCATGGAGATCTGACCTGGGGCAACGGTGCGCGTGCCAGCAGAGAGCGTGCTATACCATTATGAAAGAATAAAAGATTCAATCCACAGCCATTTCAAGATTGTATCTACAACTCTTGGGAAGGAGATTGAACTCTCGGACCTAAGAAAAAAATGGCTGAAGCTAGGTGAAGGCACTCAGGAGAAGGTTGCAGAAAAATAGTTTATGGAAATGCTGCCAGGTCCAATATATTTTTGTGTGCAAAAACATCACCCCGAAACAGATACAAAAATAGTTTCTAGTAGTTTCCTTACAATAACTGAGGATGATTTACTGCCAGGAAAGCTAAGCAGGTATAAATGGTGGAGGTCAAAAATTCTAATGAAACCAAAAGGGGGTACTCTAGAAATATCAGACAAAGAAAATGGGTGGAAGATGTAGAAAAAGAATCCCTACCAGGGACAGCAACATCTAGATTTGTCACCACCTGGTGAAATCTGAAATTCCCCAAGGTCATTTTTCAGTGGTTCTCCTGAAACCATCAGTGTGGAAGAGAATATAGTGTAGCGATGGTATTCAGCCGGTTCGTACCAGTTCAGGCAAACCGGTAGTGGCCTGCCCACCCGCCCCAACTCTATACTGTCCTATTTAGGCAGGCTTTTGAGGCTGGGCTCATGAGTAGAAGATGCACACGCGAGCAAAGCTCATGCGTGGAAAGCCGGGCTCATGCACAGAAGGCGCATGCACGGAGAACTAGTAGCAGCAAAATGTGAAACCCACTGCTGGTATAGTGTAATATGTGACAATGTGGAGGAGGTGAAATTACTTTTGGGCCGAGGGACTATAGAGATGTTCCTTTGTCCTCAGGCAGGGAAAGAGGCACTCCTCTAGGGAAGGAGCCCTTAACCAATAAAGGCCACAGCAGAGGTAATGGTTCAAGGCAGAGAACAGAACTATCCAAACTCCCTGGGAATTTACTGTAGTAATAAATAACTGACTTCATAGCCTGCTGGAAGTTGCTAAGTGGAAAGAAACTCCTGTAATAAAAACAACTGAATTAATGACCAGAATAGCTGAAAAGAGGCAGGAAAAAGAAACACTGAGAG